GACTTACTGGTAAAAGAATTATACTGGGCAGTTGTCCTCCATACATTCATAAGTTATATACCAAAACCCCCAAAGAGACTAACGTTTATAGTGACTTAGTCAGATACAGTATAGTGAGAACCAGGGGTCATTTAGTAGAAAAAGAGGTGCAGGAGCTCATTAGCATAACTCATTTGCATATGCCGCACCCCCTGACATCACCGGGAATGTGTCAGAAGGCAACACCCACCGCTCAGGCTCCACTGGACTGTTTTGGATTGCTAGCTGTTGTGTGTGTGGGGGGGAATGTGCAGATCTGTCCTCACAGAGGAGAGAGAGCTTGTACCTGAAGGTGGGCGGGGGGGGGAGGCTCTGCAACTTACCTGGCTGCTTCTTGCTCCTCGTAGCCCAACTGAGGGCTGCTGGGAGCAGGGGGCAGGGCTTGTTGCATGTGCCCGCCCCCTGGGCTCCTTACTGCCGGAGCTCCGCTCCTGTGCGCTCCCGCAGGGAATGACCTCTGGTGAGAACTGATCAGTCACATCATAATTAAAAATATTTTAAAACCAGTACATCTATAAGCCTATACAGGCAGCGATGCCACATCTCAGTCGCCCCAATGGCCGGGGAGAGGTCTTGGAGTGTTATAGGTGCCATGGGGCAAAAAAGGCTTGCCTGGGCCACAGGGCCCTCCAAGATATAGTACACAAGGAAGGGAGAACCAGGCGTTCAAGGCTTAGACTTCCTGGCCCTAAGGGAGAATATGGAGATAAAGGGGATCAAGAAAAGAGGGGTGACTAAGGAGAGATTGGGGAACCTGGACCTGCAGGACCAAGGGGTTTTTCAGGCGCTAAAGGTGAACCTAGTCTTACTAAAGAAGATATAATCAAACTCATAATGGAAATATGTGGTAAGATCTATGCTGTGGGTTTGACAGCAGGGACACTCCCTTGGAACTCGTATTTGTGACTGACAGCTCTGAAAGTGTGGGGCCCGCCAATTTTGACCTCATCAAACGTTTTGTAAAAGCAGCCATTGACAAAGTCCGAGTTGACCCAGTGACAGCGCGTGTCGGCATCATCAACTTCAGCCACAGGGGATATGTGGTATCCACTTTGCCACAATGCACCAGCCAAGACTATCACTGTTGATGAAATTCATTATTTAGGAGAGGGCACATACACAGCTATCGCTCTTAATAAAACCATTGGGATGTTCCAGGAGGCCTGACTGGAGGTGAAAAAAAGTGGCCATCGTTATAACAGATGGGCAAGCGGATGTTCGCGATGAAAAATTAGAAGATGGAGTCAAACTTGCACATGATCAGCCACCATATCTTTATCTTCTGTGTTTTAGTGTACCGTTTATGTGTAAAAAGGTTGGGCAGTTATAGTATGGTTAAGCTGATAGTATTGGTAATGGGTTATGTTTATCTTTAGGGGGATATGTTTGTGTTACATTTGTTTTGTAATGTGCCTGTTTTCATTGCTGTCCCATTATGATTTTTCTTAATAAAAAATAATTTTTAAAAAAGCTTGCACATGACATTGACATTGAAATATCTGTAACTGTTGTGGTTCAAAAGAATAATTCCAATTTAAAAAATATTCAGAAAGAGATGGAGCTCATTGCTACAGACCCAGACAGTGAGCAGATCTGCGAGATACATAATTTCTTCAGCTAATGATCTCTTGAGGAAAAGATCTTCAAACCAATTTGTAAAAATGTTTCTGCCACCCATATCAAGAAAGTGCTGAGTTCGTCCTCAGCACTTTACCCTGAAGGTGAACGGACAGGTCAGTTTGATAGAGCAGATACTCCAGAGCCGTACATCCCTCCATTGGAACCATAAACCTATCCAGGGGTCATTTCATAGAAAAAGAGGTGCAGGAGCGTATTAGCATGACTCATTTGCATATGCCACACGCCCTGACATCACCGGAAATGTGTCAGAAGGCAACACCCACCGCTCAGGCTCCACTGGACTGTTTTGGATTGCTAGCTATTGGGGGGGGGGGGGGGGGGACAAGTCTGCCCCA